TAGCTCTATTTGTTCCCCAAAAAGCCCCAAACAAAATGTCAGATAGAAGGCAGGGGTTTTTTCTTCTCTTCTTTGTGCCCTTTTCCTGCTGAAAAGGAATCCTGGGGCCTGAGCCACTATTACCAAGAAAATAAGTTGTTAGCTTCCTGATACGCTTTTATGCTTGTTGTTCTTCTCTGCTAATTCTGAACTTGCTGTATTTCATCTATTTTGAACACAGGCTAGTAAAGTGAGAAAGCAAACCCAAGCTGCAGAGAGTATTTTAACAAAGCTTAGGTTCCGAGATGATGAGTTGAAAACTTGGCAGATCTCTAAAAGAGCTATAAAAATTCCTGTATTTTTTTCTAGATACACTCATTTGCATGGATCACAGAGGTGCTTGAAAATGGAAATACTGTTTTTTTTTTTTTTTTCGAGTATTTTTTGTTTTTCATGGGAAAGGATGGTACCAGTTTCAGTAAAACTTGCATTGGGAAGGAGTGTTCAGGGAAGTGTTGGGAAGGCAGGTTATTTGCTATGCTGGGGTGGGTTTCTGTCCTGTTCCTCCAGGTGTTCCCCATGCTTCCTCTATTGAAATACACAACAAAGGGCTGTAATGGTGAGGAGGAGGTAGTGGCAGCAAGAAGCTTATTTTATGGCTTGCAAGTTGGGTGTTTGCTTGGGATGTACGAAACGGGGGTTAAATTTTTGAACTCAGTTTGCAGAAGCAAGCTGCTAATTTCCTAACCAGTGGGGGCCTTTGCTGTCATTCACAAGACAAACTTAGAAATTGACTGTAGGCTTTGCTATTATTCTGTAACTCATCACAGCTTCCATTCTTCATGTTTCTCAAAATTTAAATGAGATGCGGGCTAAAAAAAAAAAATCTGTTGTTAGATCTGGGTTTCAGTTCTAGTTTTATCGTCATGTGGCTGAACACAAGAACAATTTTAGAGATTATCAAGATCATAGAGCATGCATAAGATTAACTTGCAATCCAAGTGAGTTTGTGGACAGAATAAGCTCTTCCAAGATGTGTAGCTGTAAAAGCCCATAGCTAAATCTTAATTTTAGTGGTTAGTATTCTTCATTAGATGTTACTTTTTCTCCCACTGATGGTATTTCTTTATATATGTAACTAGTGAGTTGATAGTTTCTACATTAATGAAGAGGTTTGTCTTAGAACATACTGCAGAACAAAAAATACTTGACAGTTTTGATGTGTTTTCGAAGAATTGTTTTTTAATTTACTGAAAAGTGTGTATTAGTGATGATAATTAGTTTTAATACTGAATAAAAAAAGAATTCACATGCAGGTGTAGAAAGCCAGGTTAAGCCAGTGTAGTACAGTAACCTTAAGCATCACTTATAGCAAAACAATATACCTGCTGAAAAAGCGGATTGAAGTGGGGAATGCATCAGTGTTGTACACTGCTTACAGCCCTCTTTGATAACTTCAGCATAGAAAATTAAGAAGGTGAATGATGTCCTGTTGACAACTAGGTTTGTGACTGAAAAGCAAGGAGATGGAAAGACTGAACAGCATTAACTTTGCTGCATAGGAAAGGACGGAAGAGGGTAATAACTAATATTAAAAATCTTTGGAAAGTTATAAAACAAGCTGTTCCAGTAAGAAGTTTGTGGGATAACATTGAGCCGAATTTGGTGATTCAGTGATTAGTTGTCATACATACATCATCAGTATCTTTGAGAAAACTTTGTTCATACACGTCTGGAATTTTTTTAATGCTTAGTTCCTATTTTAATACAGGAGTCTTTATTTTTTAACATTTATTTTCTACTGTTGCAGCACTTGCATCCTAATTAGTGTGGAAAAGGTTGTGATGTTGTGAAACTTATTTTTTCTACTGATACCTCATTTTTATTCAAGTGAAAACATCCTTTTCCATATGTGTGCGTTAGTAACATAAATGTAATTGCCTATACTTAATGAAATGTGGGGAAGTATTTATCCTCAAGGATACTAATTGAAGTTTTAGCCAAGCAGAAAGAAGGCGAAAATCCGTCTTCTGGTAAGCAGTCACTTAGTGAATTAATACAAAGAATTGTATGTTCTCAGTCCAGTCCCAAGTGGGCAGGTATCTCCATATTGAATGACTTGTGGGTTGGCACAGTTTGCAGAGATCACCACTCACATGGGCAATGAGGGCAGACTGGTTTTCTCAAAAGGGCCAAGGAAACGTTTGCTGGAAAAGCACAGGAGAGTGTCTTTGGCTGCCACTGGAAGCACAGGCTTGTGTTTTCTAGCACTTTCATCCCAATTGAGGAAAGAATGCAAACCTCTCCGTGATGTGAAATACGGAGTCCCCAAGGCCTCCTTCTGCAGCCATCGCTGTCTGGAGTCCTGTGGATTTCAGACCCTTTGTGTAACTCAGGGTTGCAGGCACTGCTGCCTAATGACCTCTGAAATGGATTTTTTTCCTTACGAAATGCCATCTTGTATACTTACGATGTGTAAAAATTACTGGGCCGTCACTAAAATAAAAAATTTGATACACTTGCTAACACTTATTGCTGTCATAGTTCCTCGCTCTACAATATATTAAAGCACAAGTATACTGCTAGATGTGTTCCATTAGCCCATGTTAGGCACATTAATGTCCAATATACATTTATTTATTATTTAATATTTCAGACTTAAGCTAATGATATTGCACAGACAAAAGAAAGAAGCTGATGTATATATGAAAGAATAACCTTTTTTTTAACTTAATGGTAGTGGATGTCATTACCAAAAAAAAAAAAAAAAATTAGAAAGTATAATTTTGGGAACAGGAAAAGATCCTGAGGAATTTTACCATTAAATGGGGAAAAAAAAAAAATCTCAAACCTAGCTTTCATTTATAGAAATTGTTAAAATAAAAGTTTTTACTTTTCTGTCAAAATAAGCATGGAAAGTTGTTTGCTGTGAAGTGAATCCCCTAAATAGTTAAAGTTCAGGAAAACGTATGACGCATCAACCATTCTTCTTTATTCTGCAAGTCTTTCTAGTAAATGTTTTTTCTGCCTCCAGTTTCTGTGTGATCAAATATTTACTTTGGTGTAAGGTTTGATGTGTTTTTTGGTCAGTCCTATTTTGATGTATGTATTAGTGACTTTGCCATAAGCTGTAGGTGTGCACTTACAGAGTCTGCAGATGATGTGAAGGTGGGTGGCATTGCTGAGCCTGCAAAGACTTCCAGCCCTTCAAAGGGTTCAGGAGAATGGGATGAGATTGTTGCTGAGTAGTAGAAGTGCAAAAGAATAGAGTGAAGTTACGGGAGATGAGCTGAAAACTTCTCAGTTAGCTGTGTTGGATACAAATAAAGAGAAATGGGTTCTTTCTTTGTGGGGAAGCTGATGGTAGACTTAATGTGATTCAGCTGTGAATGATAATTTTAGGTGTAGTAGGCATGTTATTTGCAGTGGAGACAGGGAAGTGTCAATGTTATTTTAATAGGCCTTGTTAAGATCTCATTTTGAGCATATGGTCACCTGTGTTCACGTAGAGAAATGGAAACAAGAGCGATGCAAATGAGAATGGGGTGATGGAGCAGAAATCCTGTCTTGTAAGTGTCAGGAAAGGATTTGAGCACATTTATCCTGGCAAAATACTGGAAGGGATTGGGTAACTGTTCATAAAAGTGATTTCACAAGGAAATGTGAAGGTGGAACAAAAATTATAAAAGTTAAAGCACAATGTAAGTATGAATAAATTTCTACAAGTAGATTCCAGATACATTGGTGCTGGAAATCTGACTAACTTTCTAACCATTTGGAGGATGGAGCTGTGGCATAAGCTTACAAGCACTTTAGAGGCAGGGAACCTGAACTAGTTTTTCATTCTCTGCTTTAGGTTTATTAATTGTCAAGGTAAAGGCAGCCCTAGTCTGTGGCTAAAGTTTTTCAGGTGCTAGTTGTTATCCATCAGAGGTTGCAGGGAGGCTGAAACACTGATCTTTGTGATGCTTCATGTGGCATGTTTACACTGAATGGATCCCATGCCTCAGTGTTTGGCTGGCCTGTGGGAGCCCCTTCTTTGTTCCGGGGTGTTTATTCTACATTTCCCTCCCCATCCCCAAAGCATGAGTTTCTCCATGTAGGCAGACAGGATGTTGGGTGGGTTGTAATGAAAAACCTGAGGTGCCTAGCTGGTGTGTCTTCATCTTTTCATACTCACTGCTGCTTGAAATAGTTTGCCTCAGTCTGACCAACATTGCTGAAGAGGATTGAGAGGTTTTGGATATTCTGAGTATTTTCACCACGCAATTCTTCCATTCTTTTATACTCTGAGCTGCAATATTCGGGATATTGAGAAACATCTCCTGTGTAACAGAAATGGCTGTCAGGAGTAATCCTTTAAAGTGTTGTGGACTGGCAGCTTATTAAAGAGAACTAGATTTATCTAGTCCGGTTCTGTGGTCACGTGCCTCTTTTGTTTTGAAGATGGCTTCTATAAAGTGCCATTATTTCCTGTGGTTTACCTGAAAAAAATGAGGTGGAAGAAAGTGAGGTAGCTTTCTAAATGCTGGGAGTTCTCTGCAAACCTGCTTTTTTCCATTGAATTACAAGTCTAGATATTCATTTGAATCTTACGGAGATCTGTGTAAAAGGTAATACTATCTGCCCTCATAGTAACTGCATATATAAAAATTGTTATTAAGTTGTCAGCCCTTGTATTATAAAGTTATTTTGCATTTTCAGCCACTTTTTATAATGGAATACATGTCTTCCAGGGTATACTATTGAATACATCTGAAAGATGCAAAATACATGTATTAAACTGTTGATTTTCCAATATAATAATAGCATGCCTATGGGTTGATGTGAGTAGTATATACTTCAGTTACTGTCTGAGCATTTATTGAAGTATGCTGTCTCATATAGTTTGTAGGTAGCTTGTATTTAAAAACTAAAAATCACCATAATGTGTGAGTGTGGTGCATGAAACCAGACAGAAAAAACAAAATGAATGGTGTTTATGCATTTCCTTTTTCCCTTTCCCTGCCTCTTTGTTTCAGGAGCTGCTGAAATGGGTTGTGGATTGAACAAACTAGAGAAACATGATGAAAAACGACCTGGTAATATCTATTCAACTTTGAAGAGGCCACAGGTAGAAACCAAGATAGATGTTTGCTATGAATATCGATTCCTGGACTTCACAACACTCAATGATAGTAAGTACACAATATTTTTGTTTAGATTTTTTTTTCTATTTAAATTAACATTTTAATTGCTCCATAATGTTTTTTGAATAGAAGTTTTTTTAAATGCCTTCAGTTTCTTTAGGTAAATGCCTTCTCTTCAGTCATATTGCTTACATGCAGAGATCTTATTGAGGATTTTCTATAAATTTTTAACCTTAGACCTAGTTCTAGAGTATCAGATTTTAGGTTCTTTTACCCCCCTCACCCCCCCTTCCCCCTTTCCCCTTTTTTTTTTTTTTTTTTTTTTTTTATTTGTTACTCTAAGATGGATATTTGTTTCCTTAATTTGCATTTTATCCAAGTTTCATATGGTAAAGCAATTCAGGTCCATCAGGTTATATACTTTACTGCTCTTTTTTCTTTCTGCCCTTCTGCTCCCTGTGCTCCCTCAGGAGTATTTTGAGAGGTTTAAGTTAGTGTTTTCAGTTTTGCTAACTTATCTTAAATAACTGTTATGTGGTTACAGGTATTTATAGGTGCACCCATGAGGGTGGAAACAGGATAGTGGGAGACACTGAAGATCTAAAACATCAGAGGGGTGAAGGTCTCATCCAATTTTTACCTTTTTTTTTTTTTTTTTTCTGTCTGAAATGATCTTGCTTTAATTCACATGACAATCCACAGATACTCCATTTCTTTCCTTCCTGATTGACATCAAGTATCTCTGCCAGTATTGCTCACACCATTGCCTGTGCCCTCTTTCACTTCAAAATTAGCCTGCTCTACAAGCAATTACTCCTCACACCATTTGGAAATCTGAAGCTTGAGCAGAAGGCTGGGACCTGCTTCTTGCTATATATAAAACAACACAGTACCAAAATCTGTTCTAGCTAGCTGGCAGGATGCCAGGTAGAGCCTCTGTGCTTTTGCCCTGCAGTGTGCTGCTGCTTCTCTTGTTTTGCAAGTCAGGTCAAAGGAAAAGCCAAAGCGGTACGTCTCTCACTGTGTGAGACAAAGAGCTGCTGGTGTGTCACTTGATGTGACACCTCTAGCATGGTTCAGTATGTTCAGCCCAGAGTGATGCGAATTTGTAGTTTTTTAAAACTTGCTGCAAGTGAACTTGAATTTGAAAAAAGGTAGATGTTTGGAATAGGTGACTGGACAGGAGTGTGCTTTTGTAGGTAATATGGGAGCTGAGAAATTTTGTCTTTGCAGACTTTTCTTAGTGCCTGTCTCTTGCGCTCATGGAATCTTATTTGTTACGCCGTTTGGGTCATGCTGCAGTTATTGAGAGCACCAAACAAATGGGAGAGGAATTTTTTTCATGTTTATGTATTGCAGCTGTTTCTATGTTTATGTATTTTTATTTCAAAGTGAACTGTTTGTGTCCTTTGATAGTTTGACTGCTTTTACTGAGAGGTACTGTCCGTTTTGTCATTAGTGAAAATGAATTAATATTGAGGACACACTTCTGTAGGCTTTTCTGGGATGCTCATCACTGTTTTGTCTGATTGCCTCACTAGCCTTAGCGTTCTCCTGATGCCTCAGGAAGTCTCATCTTTGTCACTCTATGGAGGAAGAATCAGTACATGCGATAGCAATGTGACTTGCCTCAGGCACAGAGGATGTCTGGCACAGAGCAAAAAAATTAAACCCAGACTTTCCAAGTCTGATTAAATTGATAGGTTTGTTGTAAAGCGTACTTGCACATTTTTCTTACTCATCATAGGTTGTTTTATTATGATTTTAGGAAGCATAGTTTTAAAGAGACTGTAAGTGGAAGTACGTTTATAAAATTTTTTGGCTCGCCAGAGAGTGTAAGCTATCCAGCTCCCATTGAGTTCTGCTTTGGCATGTTGTACACCCATCACTCCAGTCTCCGAAGATGTCAGTGGATAGACAGAGCTGTTGTTCCTGCTCTTTTTCCTTAGTATCACCCATGATTGTGTGCTCTCAGGATTGGCAGGACAACAGCTTGTGGTTATGCAGCTCCCTCCCTATTGATGTCATTGGCTGTGTGAAGGCTCATGTTGCATTACGTAGTGTTATGACGTTCCAGGTTTTTCTCAATGGTGACAGCATCACTGGTTCATTTATATTTTTACTCAGAAATAACCTCTGCAGATAACCAGAGCTAATGGGGAGCATTTCACCTATATCTGCAGATTCAGAGGCTTCTAAAAATGAAATGCTCACAGCTCTGTAAAAAGAGCATTCAGGTTGTGAAGTCTGTCTTCTGTGAATCTACTTTAGCCCTTTCAGTGTGTATATAGATCCTGACATAATTTTTTCCACAGGTTTTCTGCTTCATTAGGTTTTTAGAATAAGTCATGCTAAATTATGAGTGGCTGCAGAGTGTTCTAACATTATTCTAGGCCTTATTTGTAATACTAGTGAGCCTGGCTCTGAAGACAGGTACTCGTTTTATTCTGGGGCTTTCCTGTAACATCTACTGCTCTGATAACTGTATCTCTCACAAGTGTTTAATCTTAATGGTGAGAAGGATGTGATTATCTCCATGTTGCAAGTGGAGGCTAATACACAGATCACTGACAGAAGTTGTCAAAGTCCTTAGCATTTCTTCTTGTGTTCCAAAAGCAGCTCTCATTGACTTCAGTTGTAAAGATGGATGCTGGTCATATTTTCAGTTTGTCACTGCCTGTATTCTCAAATCTGATATCCAGATAGTGAGAGATCACTTCAAGAATGTGGCATATGTTTTATCTGCAGTTTCACAGGCAGCTAGGTGAATGTAAGCTTTCTGCAGCTAGATGTGGGGAGCTACTACTCCCCTCACTCTCCTCTGATCAGCTCTGTGAATTGATTTAACTCAGGGATCTGTCAGAAGGCTATGAAGTCTTTTTGTCTGCTTATCCTCTGCCAGATCAGTGTTTTGTGGAAGGGTCTGAAGAATGCTGGAGCTGGTAGAAGTGGTAGGAGTATGCAGTCAGGACAAGAAATAGGACCTTCTTTAAATCAGCTCATACTGTTATGAACTCATTCCTTTAGCATCACTGTTGAAAACAGGGATAAAATACTGTCCTGCTGGTCATTTCTCTGTTAGGTTAGCCAGAAACTCATTTTTGCTTGCTTGCTGTGTTTGGTTACTTTTACAAGGAAATACACTCCTTTATTATACATTTTTATTCATTTACGAACTTGAGCCTTGCTCTGTACTGATGCAGGTGTATAGTGGAAAACAGTGTTAGATCACTTAAATTAAGTACTATATAAATAATGTATAGATGCAAAAGACAGAATTTTAAGGTTGCAAGTATAAACTGCGTCCTGACATTCCCAATATTACAGGATTGACGTACTTGGAAGTAAAGTGTCTAGAGAAAGATTTCCCAGGCTTTCAAGGAAAGCAGGCTATGAAGAACCCATCAGTTTTCATTGTGTGCCACAACACTGATAATCTGCATGGTTCTTCAGAGTTTAAATGGTTAGATTTGCCACTGTCCTTTATTTCTTGAGCAAGTGTGATGATAGATAGTAGCAGAGGGTTATCATCTAGTGTAGATGATTGACGCTTGAGGAATAAGGAGCACTTTGCTAAGGCATTTCAAAACCATGAGGTGAGTATGCTCGTTTTGAGTTGTTGGCTTTATAATGCCTGCTCATGAGACTTACCTTTCTTGTTTCTGCTAAGGTGGCCTCTTCCAAGAAATCACAGTCTGTCTTCAGTTGTCCCTTGACAGTGTCATCCTGTGTCATCCTTAGTCATCTGTACTGTCCAAAGCTTGTGGGCTGCTGCTCTCCCTCAGGTGAAATCACACCAGATTTCACCTGAATTAAATTAATAAAATCATCACATATTTTTACTTGTCAAGAAGATATTAATAGGTTTGTAAATTGGATGGCTCATTGCTGGGTCAGCAAAATGTTAGAGGAGGTGCAGAGGAAGAGCAGCAGTGAGCTACTGGGTCGCCCTGGCTGTAACATGTAGCTTCATTCTGGTGGAATCATCCAGCTGCTGAACTCTACACTGTCATCTTGTAAGGCTTGCTCCTTCACTGAGTTGGGCTCATCTGTCACTGTATAGTGCAGTCCTGTGTCATCTCCATCTTCAGCTGGTTTCTCCTGACAGATTTCTACCTCCGGTTATTTCTTCTGGTGCTCTCATTCTGTCTCAGAGACCTGGCACTCCCAATGGTGGCATATAACGGGTGCAGGCAGTGTCTTGGAGAGGGTTTAACAGCTTACTCTCAATAGCTTTATCTGCAGTTCGAGCATTCTTGTAGCTCTCTGCTGGCTAATCCTCACTTCAGAGTTGCTCAGCTGATTGCCTTATCACTGACTTTGAGACAATGATTGAATTTTATAACAATAAAAAAATCTGAGGAAAGTCAGAGGCAACAGTGTGAGATTAATGTTGCAGGAAACCTCTTGCTATGAAGCCTTTTGGAAGAGACAAATTAGGGTCTGTGCATGTATACTTCAGGCTTTTACTGGAAAAAAAAACCCAAAAGACTTTATTACCTGCCCAAAAGTAAAAAATTGGTGTTTATTTTGCATCCCTCTCCAAATAAATAAAAGTAGCTGAATAATGACCATCTTGTACCTCTTCTTATCTCCAAGTTTTATTGGAAATAAGAGGTAACATGTTGAGCAAACATGAGGAGGATATGTGCTGACAAATGGAATAGACTTAGTTTAAAGCAATCATGTTTTCAACAGTGACTCCATGAGGCGAGCTGGTTTGTTTTGTTTTGTTATTTTGCTTGAAAGAGAAATATTTCAATAATCTGCATTCCTTCCCTGCTCTTATCTGATCTACTTATTTTGGAAAACTTCACTTGTGATGACAGGTCATACAGAAACTGAGCTCTCACTCTTCATCTTTTATCTCTTTTCTTCCACCTCTTTTTAGTTGTGATCACTTTCTGTGAGAAACCAGGGATCTGATAGTTACTTACCTCTTCCCTTCTCCTCAGAGTAGTGTAGAACTTTTGGTATTTATGTGTGTGTTTTTTTTTTTTTTTTTTACCGACTTGATTGGATCCTTTTTTGCTTTGCTTTACATTCCT